GGTTAGGGTTAGGGTTAGGGTTAGGGTTAGGGTTAGGGTTAGGGTTAGGGTTAGGGTTAGGGTTAGGGTTAGGGTTAGGGTTAGGGTTAGGGTTAGGGTTAGGGTTAGGGTTAGGGTTAGGGTTAGGGTTAGGGTTAGGGTTAGGGTTAGGGTTAGGGTTAGGGTTAGGGTTAGGGTTAGGGTTAGGGTTAGGGTTAGGGTTAGGGTTAGGGTTAGGGTTAGGGTTAGGGTTAGGGTTAGGGTTAGGGTTAGGGTTAGGGTTAGGGTTAGGGTTAGGGTTAGGGTTAGGGTTAGGGTTAGGGTTAGGGTTAGGGTTAGGGTTAGGGTTAGGGTTAGGGTTAGGGTTAGGGTTAGGGTTAGGGTTAGGGTTAGGGTTAGGGTTAGGGTTAGGGTTAGGGTTAGGGTTAGGGTTAGGGTTAGGGTTAGGGTTAGGGTTAGGGTTAGGGTTAGGGTTAGGGTTAGGGTTAGGGTTAGGGTTAGGGTTAGGGTTAGGGTTAGGGTTAGGGTTAGGGTTAGGGTTAGGGTTAGGGTTAGGGTTAGGGTTAGGGTTAGGGTTAGGGTTAGGGTTAGGGTTAGGGTTAGGGTTAGGGTTAGGGTTAGGGTTAGGGTTAGGGTTAGGGTTAGGGTTAGGGTTAGGGTTAGGGTTAGGGTTAGGGTTAGGGTTAGGGTTAGGGTTAGGGTTAGGGTTAGGGTTAGGGTTAGGGTTAGGTAAGGGTTAGGGTTAGGGTTAGGGTTAGGGTTAGGGTTAGGGTTAGGGTTAGGGTTAGGGTTAGGGTTAGGGTTAGGGTTAGGGTTAGGGTTAGGGTTAGGGTTAGGGTTAGGGTTAGGGTTAGGGTTAGGGTTAGGGTTAGGGTTAGGGTTAGGGTTAGGGTTAGGGTTAGGGTTAGGGTTAGGGTTAGGGTTAGGGTTAGGGTTAGGGTTAGGGTTAGGGTTAGGGTTAGGGTTAGGGTTAGGGTTAGGGTTAGGGTTAGGGTTAGGGTTAGGGTTAGGGTTAGGGTTAGGGTTAGGGTTAGGGTTAGGGTTAGGGTTAGGGTTAGGGTTAGGGTTAGGGTTAGGGTTAGGGTTAGGGTTAGGGTTAGGGTTAGGGTTAGGGTTAGGGTTAGGGTTAGGGTTAGGGTTAGGGTTAGGGTTAGGGTTAGGGTTAGGGTTAGGGTTAGGGTTAGGGTTAGGGTTAGGGTTAGGGTTAGGGTTAGGGTTAGGGTTAGGGTTAGGGTTAGGGTTAGGGTTAGGGTTAGGGTTAGGGTTAGGGTTAGGGTTAGGGTTAGGGTTAGGGTTAGGGTTAGGGTTAGGGTTAGGGTTAGGGTTAGGGTTAGGGTTAGGGTTAGGGTTAGGGTTAGGGTTAGGGTTAGGGTTAGGGTTAGGGTTAGGGTTAGGGTTAGGGTTAGGGTTAGGGTTAGGGTTAGGGTTAGGGTTAGGGTTAGGGTTAGGGTTAGGGTTAAGGGTTAGGGTTAGGGTTAGGGTTAGGGTTAGGGTTAGGGTTAGGGTTAGGGTTAGGGTTAGGGTTAGGGTTAGGGTTAGGGTTAGGGTTAGGGTTAGGGTTAGGGTTAGGGTTAGGGTTAGGGTTAGGGTTAGGGTTAGGGTTAGGGTTAGGGTAAGGGTTAGGGTTAGGGTTAGGGTTAGGGTTAGGGTTAGGGTTAGGGTTAGGGTTAGGGTTAGGGTTAGGGTTAGGGTTAGGGTTAGGGTTAGGGTTAGGGTTAGGGTTAGGGTTAGGGTTAGGGTTAGGGTTAGGGTTAGGGTTAGGGTTAGGGTTAGGGTTAGGGTTAGGGTTAGGGTTAGGGTTAGGGTTAGGGTTAGGGTTAGGGTTAGGGTTAGGGTTAGGGTTAGGGTTAGGGTTAGGGTTAGGGTTAGGGTTAGGGTTAGGGTTAGGGTTAGGGTTAGGGTTAGGGTTAGGGTTAGGGTTAGGGTTAGGGTTAGGGTTAGGGTTAGGGTTAGGGTTAGGGTTAGGGTTAGGGTTAGGGTTAGGGTTAGGGTTAGGGTTAGGGTTAGGGTTAGGGTTAGGGTTAGGGTTAGGGTTAGGGTTAGGGTTAGGGTTAGGGTTAGGGTTAGGGTTAGGGTTAGGGTTAGGGTTAGGGTTAGGGTTAGGGTTAGGGTTAGGGTTAGGGTTAGGGTTAGGGTTAGGGTTAGGGTTAGGGTTAGGGTTAGGGTTAGGGTTAGGGTTAGGGTTAGGGTTAGGGTTAGGGTTAGGGTTAGGGTTAGGGTTAGGGTTAGGGTTAGGGTTAGGGTTAGGGTTAGGGTTAGGGTTAGGGTTAGGGTTAGGGTTAGGGTTAGGGTTAGGGTTAGGGTTAGGGTTAGGGTTAGGGTTAGGGTTAGGGTTAGGGTTAGGGTTAGGGTTAGGGTTAGGGTTAGGGTTAGGGTTAGGGTTAGGGTTAGGGTTAGGGTTAGGGTTAGGGTTAGGGTTAGGGTTAGGGTTAGGGTTAGGGTTAGGGTTAGGGTTAGGGTTAGGGTAAGGGTTAGGGTTAGGGTTAGGGTTAGGGTTAGGGTTAGGGTTAGGGTTAGGGTTAGGGTTAGGGTTAGGGTTAGGGTTAGGGTTAGGGTTAGGGTTAGGGTTAGGGTTAGGGTTAGGGTTAGGGTTAGGGTTAGGGTTAGGGTTAGGGTTAGGGTTAGGGTTAGGGTTAGGGTTAGGGTTAGGGTTAGGGTTAGGGTTAGGGTTAGGGTTAGGGTTAGGGTTAGGGTTAGGGTTAGGGTTAGGGTTAGGGTTAGGGTTAGGGTTAGGGTTAGGGTTAGGGTTAGGGTTAGGGTTAGGGTTAGGGTTAGGGTTAGGGTTAGGGTTAGGGTTAGGGTTAGGGTTAGGGTTAGGGTTAGGGTTAGGGTTAGGGTTAGGGTTAGGGTTAGGGTTAGGGTTAGGGTTAG